GAGTCATGGTCTATCCCTGTGTGCATACAACAAACAACAAAGCCATTCCAACTAGCTTGTACCCAGCTGTGCTTTCTGGCAGCAGAAGATGAACTTAATGAGCTGTGAAGATTTGGAATACTTTAATTCAGGGAGGGGTTTTACATTTCTCCCCTGACAACTCCTATTGGCTGGGCTCCCATTGCTTTCCCAAATACCAATACATCTCAATTGTCCATACAGCTTCCCACAGTGTCACACAGCCAGCCATCATCTCCTGAGGGTGCTAGCAACAGTTTCTGGTATAATCCAACTCACTCACCTGAGAACTGTGATCATCCAACTGAGTCATTGTATGGGTTTCAGATTTGGGGTGGGAGGAGGGGCTCACCAGAGGAGGTTTTTTCCCTTACAGGCATTAGTCTAACAATTCTCATGTTGTTGACTGCCCAAACTAGAATATGGAAAGATCTTCCCAAGTTTGCAATCAATGCAATTTCACATACAGGATCAGTGACCGTTAGAAGAGTTTCCATTGTTGCATACTTGCTGGTGTTTTCAGAATATTCAGGAATCTGAACCTTGGCCATTGTGTTTGGACTACTGTCATCACTTCCTGTAGCTGTCATGGGAGAATGATCATGAGAACTTGAGGGGTTCCAAGAAATACAACTGCAGCTGAGCTTACTTGCCCCAGCATGCCACAGGCACTCCTGGCTGAGATTCCTTGACATCCCATGCCTCATACATCAGTACTATACAGCCTGCTGAACAGATTGCTAACGTTAGACCCATATGCATAGCAGCCAGCTTCACATTGGTAATGCTTATTTTGCTGCCCATTAGAGTTGCCTTACTAACCCATCAACTCTGTCCTCACATTTGGCTTTCCAATTCTTTCTTTTGGAGCTCTTTGGTCAAAAGAACATGAAACTAAAATCTGACCAAATTCAAGATGGGTCCAAATTACACATCAAACAGACCCACTATGTGGCTTCCAACTGCAGGGCAATGCCAATCCCTGCTTTTCACTTTTATCTCAGATCTTAACATGTGCTCACTAGAGCAGGTGGCCATCTACTGCCAATTGAAGTTGAAATGACATGGTGAAGATTGGCAGGGAGGTAAATGGGCTGGGTAAGTTAAAAATTTTGCCAGCAGCCCTGCAATTCCTTTATCTGTAAATACAGAAACACCCACCTTCCCAGGATACACCTGTGTCTCCTGTGTTATAATGACTACATGAAAATTAGATTTCACATGGAGGTGCCATAGAAATCCCAGAAGGTCCCACACATGCTAAGACCCCACTCAGCCAAGGCACTACCCTTTTTATCACAGAAGAGGCTGAGAATGGGCAGTACCTCTGCATACAGTCAAAGGCACTTCTCCCCTCTCTGTCTCCCTCCTGGAGGTGGCACTTTTGCCCACCCATGTGGGATTGCCCATATTAATGCCTGAAATATATGCTCACTCTCTCACTTTTGAATAAACCTGGCTGTCACCTTATTATGCCTCCACTTAGAATTCTTATCACTATGGGAAACAAGACCCTGGATTAAACATTAGGATACTGAGGTCCCATCAGATAGACATCAGGACTAAGACCCCTGTTGGTCTACCACTATGCTATTCCACTAGCCCATTCTTCCTCTGCATGCCTCTCCCTACTCTGAAGAGGGTGGCAGCATGGGGCTTACAATCCACTGGGACTCCCACCCGGGTGTTATGCTAGTAGTACTAAGAGAGTAGAAACTTCATCCAGTTACACTGTATGGAGGTGTGGGTTTAGGGACGTGATCAGGCTGGAATCAGCTATCAGGGAAGCCTGTGACTTGTGGTAAACACCTAGCCACATGTGCTCTCTCTTGCCTGTTCAGGACTCTGCCAGCAAGAACTTCATCACCAGGTGCCAAGCACTGAGACCACTGGTTTGCAGACTATGGCCCTCCAGAATTGTGAACCAAGATAACCCTTTGATCCTTATAATGTTAGCTTCTCTCAGGCATTTCCTTTTAGTAATAAACAGTTGACTGAGTCAAGGCATAAGCTGGGAATGTTTAACAGAAAACTAAACTGTGGGCTCCCTGCTTGGTGCTTTGTCATACTGCCCTAGTTCAAGACTGTATTACCCCTCTTTAGGACTATCTCAGAAACCCTTTCAAACAGGTTTCTGATTCAGCTTCTTCCAGACTAGCTTCCTCTTAGCAGAAAAACATGTTTCTAAAACACACAGAGATTGAAAACCATGTTGATGGCCTTTAATCTCTGACAAAGTCAAGTCTAAGCTCTGAGGACAATTTATTGCCAATATCCCAGCACTCATACACTCACTCTTTCTATCTTTCTCTCTCTCTCTCCCTCTCCCCCCTCCTCTATTTATCCCTCTCTCTGTCTCTGTCTCTCTCTCTCTCTCACACACACACATGAATAATATGTTCTGGTTAAACCTGATATAATACCTACATCAAAGAAGAACATTTTCTATCTGTGTGATTTCCTGTTTGCACTATTTCTAGGGTAAAGTATAATTACATGTTAGACATGACTTCATAAAGTAATAATTACAACAAAGTAATCCAGAGATACTTAGTCCCCAGTGATGTTAGTTTATTTAATCCTCACAGTTACCCTAAGAGGTAGGTGACATCATTATTCCATTTTACATATTAGGCAACTGAGTCCCCAGTGCAATAGCTTTTCTAGAATCCCACAGCTTATGCACATAATGGGGCATTATTGTAACTCACAAATTCTGGCTCCAAAATCCATATTATTAAGTACACTATGTCCTCTTACAAAACCATCACTCTATGTGTTCTCTTAAAATAGGATTAAAGCTGTGTCCTCTCTCTTGTTAAGTGTAGCTCTGGAGTAATAGCATCCTGGTCCCTTAGGTTAGAACTAGAAATGCCTATCTCCAGGCCCAGGACTGACCTACTGAATCAGGTTCCGTGGAGTTGGGGCTCCGGGAGCTGCATTTTAGCAAGTTTTGAGGATGAGAATGTTTGAGACATATTACTTTAAAATAATCTGTTCTGGAGAGTAATGGCCTTAATAGAGGGGAAACTTAGGACAGACACAGGAATAATTTTGAGAAAAGAAATGCCAGTATGATGCTTTCATACAAGGGTTTTAAATTCTGAAAGAAAAAACAAAAACAATACAGGGCCACATCCATATTGCAAAGATGCTGCCGCAGGAGAACAGGATCCACCTGTGCTCAAAGCAAACAAGCCTGAGTTGGCATCTGGCACAGCCACTAACCTGCTTTGCCACTTGGCAGACTGCTGGAGCCTTGGTTTCTTCATCAAAAGGTTAAACTAACAATCTCCTCGACCCATTGCCAGAATGGTTGTGGAAAACCAAGTAGGAGTACCTATGAGGCAATGCTTTCATACAGTGGCTAGGACAGCCTGCTGACCAAATTTCATTTTGCACTTTAAAACATAACTGTAGAATACACACCTATGTTTCCTCAGTCAACAGGATTTTGTGACTTAGGAGAACTCTGTTTTGTGTAGATTGTGGAAGCTATGCAGCTAGAGTGAAGACTTGTTCTGGGCTTGAAAGAAAGGGATCATCTAACCTGACAGTGGGTCAGCAAGTTGGCAGATTGGTAGTAAGAAATGAGCACATCTCTTGATTCATCTGTTGTTTCCAATTTCTGCCCCTAAACATTGAAACCTGAGGTAGCCTGCTCTGGGACAGGCTTTTACAGCTAGATAGCTTGCATTTGGCTTGTTGAGTGTATTAGTTGTTTTACAAAACTGCTCTGGTCATACCCCGTTGTAGAAGGGGATGTTGCATGAACTCTGGGACCCCATCTGTCTGGGAAGAGTTGATCAGCTCATCGTGGGCTTCACATGCCATGTGTTGAGTAGAATAACACAAGGAGCCCTTTAGCTCCTCTCCCATTTTCCCCACTGAGGAAGATACCAGCTCCCTGCCCTGCGGGAATGCCCATGTATGAGCTTTGCAGTTCCTATGTCAAGGCCAGCATATTTTATGTCTGTTGACCTGGGTCTTTCATCCATTCCTGGTCTGCACTCCCCTTTTCCTTTCTGTTCCCATCAGTAACAGACAGAATAGGAGCACATGTCCCCCTTGTAGTCATCTCTCCTGGGTCAGTGACAATTTCAGACACACATGTCTTATTGAGGATAGGGGAACACATTCCATTTAGACCTTCTCAGACCCCGCCTGTGTATTGATGGTATTGCTTGCTCAGACTGATGTTTAAAACCTTAACAGAACCAAAGGCCTCAGAGACTTTGATGCAGAATGGTTGAGAGGACAAGACCAGCTATTTTTCTAGCAAACATTATATTTTTTCAGTTGAAGCTAAAAAGTTCAAATGAGCTGCGATCACACAAGTTGAGGCATGATCTATGCAGCTAATACTAAACTTACAAGGAGATGTCTGGCTCTATTTAAAATAGCCATTTAACCTAAGGAAATCCACCCTCTCCCCCACCCCCACATCCTCTGTTACTTGGAACAACCTAGCCTTTCTAGTTAGGACCACAAAACTTGAAGACTCCATCACTTGGGGACATGGAGTTTCTTCTTAGCTACCCAGCATAAACCAGGTGCTCAGTTAGATATCCCCATTCTCCATTTCTCCATTTGCCATGCCATTGACAATCCCCAAACTTGCCTTGAAAAGCCAAAAGCTGCAGAGTGTAAGCTCTCATGAGTCAAGAAATGGACCACAGACCACAGCAAGAGAAATTCCCAGAGGAACTGCTAGGAGCACAGATTTCAGGCCTACCCCAGAGCATCCTGAGTTATGTAAGGCCCATTTTGCAACCTGGTCTCCCTGTGTGGCAAACATGCCTGCTGAAGGACCATATGTGGGACACGTTTGGGAAAGCACCTATCAAAAAGGAATTGGGGTTTTCTGCTCAGTATGAAGCTTTCTAAATACAAAACCAGACCAGCTCACCTCCGTTGAGGCATATGATGCTCGGGCAGTGCCCTCCCCGCAGATGTCTGTACCCTCAGGGGTTCTGGAGTACCTTCAGCCAAGATCCATGCCTGTTCAAGGAGACAAAAACCTTCCAGGAGTGTTGCTTGATTCTGGCTCCCGGAAGAAACTCGCCAGCCCCCAGAGTAGATCCTGCAGCCGCTGAGACAGTCAAGGCTTTTCAGAACAAGCAGGAAATGTCCAAAAGGAAATGATCAGCTCTCAGATGCTGTACAGTTCCTTTGTCCTCTGCTGGTCCTTGCTCACATGCCTTCCAGGATCCCTGGAATTCACACTGATGTCCTAACGCCTCTAAACAGCTCAGGATCCTTTTCAAGTGTCTCAAGTGTCGATGGCCAGGGGCTGAAAAACAAAAAGGAGAAACTTGTGTAAGAGATTTTTGTAAATCTTGCTCGCTCTTTGTGTGATAGGAGCCTGACGGCAGCATCTCCACTATTTTAGAAACAGACGGCTCTGAATGAATTCTAGCAAACGGTTTTACTCTGTGTAAACTTCCTGTCTCTTACCAGCCCGGGAGTGCAGGGGTCGACTTTCACAGGCCCTGTGTTCTAGCAGAAAAAAAAAAAAAAAGGCAGGAAGATGACCCAGCTTTGTAAAGGAAGTGAATGAAACCAAAGTAAAAACAGAGTTAGGTTTCACTGCAGAGGCCCATCCAAGAGTGAAGGGGGAGAGCAAAGCTGAACTTGAACGTGCTGCCTGTCTAGTGTGATTCTTTCCAAAGCCACAAATATGATAGGAAGTGAAGACTGTGTTAAAGAGGCACTTAATATTCTGAAAACCTGATAGATGTTGGATGGAAAAAAGAACAGCTATTGGAGGCTTCTGAATCCACTTTTACATGATCTGACAGGTTGTGAAATCCACACCTTCCCCCACTATCAAAGAGTAACAACAATCCATTTCTCGCCGAGCTGTTTGTTGCATGATATTGCAAGACACGTGAAATGATTACTGCATTTGTCATACCATAAACTCTATAAGTCTTCATCCTGATTTTCCCTTCTGTTGGGCAGCTCCTAGGACAAGCTGGGTAGTCAAGAAATAGTTATTGAAAAGTTCAGAAATATTGAGACTGTCAAAAACTCCATTCAGGTGTTTGTAGGTGTTTGTTGTATTGCCACTTTAACCATTCTAAGGGGTATTAATTACATTCATAAATTTGTGCCGCTCTTTCTAAAATTATTTCATCAACAGATATCAAGTCACCACTTGTACAATGACTCCTTCAGATCTAATTTAAATGTGGGGATTATTTTTAAATGTGAGGGGACACTTCACCTCCCCTGGTAGTAGCTATACTTTAAATATCCTTGCAGAGAAAATACATAATGTTAAGAACACTTCAAGAAAGTCTTTCAAATACACGTATACCTTAATCTTACCAGGCAAATATTTGCCCTTTGAAATATTCTTATTCATTCTATCAGTTAAAAAAAGTTCAGAATAAACTTTGAAATAATATTTCTGCATCTGTATATTTGAACTTCTTTTAAAATTTTGTACTTGCTTGGAAGAAAGTTAGAGAGAGAGAACTTACACCTACTGATTTGCTCTCTAAAGTTAGGAACCTAGAACTCTATCCAGGTCTTGCATGCGGGTGACAGAGTTCCAAGTAGTTGAGTCATCATTCATTGCTTTCCCAGGCTCATTAGCCAGAAGCAAGATTGAAAGCAGAGCAGTTGGCACTCATACAGATGCTCTAATATGGGATGCTGGCATCACCAGCAGCAACTGAACTTGCTATGCAACAATGCCACTCCCCAGAAATTTTAAGATGTTTGCTCTATCAAATAAAACATGGATATCACAGTTTTATATATACATATTCAAAAAGACCTTATTTTTATTTAAAAGGCAATGTTACAGAGAAAGGAGAGATAGAGATCTTCCATCTGCTCAGTCATTTCCCAAATGGCCACCATAGCTGATGCTGGGTTTATCCAAAGCTTCTTCTGGTCTCCTATATGAGTGCAGTGGCCTAAGGACTTGGGCTATCCTCTGCTATTCTCCCAGGCATATCAACAGGGAGCTGAATTGGAAGTGGAACAACAGGGACTCTAATGGGTGCCATATGAGAGGCTGGTGTTTCAGGTGGTAGCTTAACTTGTTACACTACAATGCCAGCCCCATGGAGCCTTATGGGTTATGGTTGTAGACTAATGCATAATGCCAAGCTCAGAGTCACTGGGCTCAAGTTCTCATGATTCCATTGATTCCAGAACAATAAATGCTGGGTAAGTTCTTTCTTTAGCAGTATCCACTGCTAAAGAATTAAAGTAGAGGGAAATAAAGGGAGGAAATAAAGTAGAACCAATATGTTTACTAATAAGGGCATATCTGAAGATGGACCAAAGAGGGGGAAAATGATCCAAACACAGACTCACTTTTTCCCACTCCATGTTCACAATACAGATCCTGTCTACGAACCCGGCAAGTAATTCATGATGCAGCCACATCTGCTGTATCAGATCAGATACCCAGCACTAGCATCAGATCTCACAGGTGGAGGGCTTAGTTTCCGATTCTGACTGCGCACCTTTAGATGCCAGTCAGGAGCCCCACAATGTGTCTGTCCTGTGCTTCTCAATGACTGGCTGGAAATTGGCATTCCCATACCTCCTTGTTCAGGTTTGATGAATTTGCTCATGAGGCTCACGGAATGCAGGGAAACACTTGAGTATACCAGTTGGTTTCGAAAACTTTGGCATGAATACAAATGAAGCAGTGTGTGGGGTGAGATTTGAGGAAGGGCTGTGGAGCTGCCTGGGAGCCATTTCCTGGGGATCCCCATGTGTCTGACATAGGGAAGCCCTCTGCACCCTTTGTTTTTGGGGTTTTATAGACACTGCACTTCATAGTTATGATTGAAGCTTGGACAACTGAATAGGAATGTGCTTGAATTAGAAGGACAAAATCTAGGGCAGAAGTTTGGCTCAACAGTTAGGAAGCTTGCATTCCATCTCAGAGTGCCTGGGTTCAAATCCCTGCTCTGCTGATGATCCAGCTTCCTGTTACTGTACACACTGGGAGGCAGCAGGCAACAATCCAAGCATGTCAGTCACTGCCACATGTGGATAGAGTTCTGAGCTTAGGCCTGGGTGAATAGGTGGGATGGAAGATCATTCTCTCTGTCTTCCCACTCCCCATCTCTCCCTGTTGCTTTACCCTTCAAATAAATTAATTAAAATTTTAATATTTACTTATTTTAAAATCAGAGTTACAGAGAGAGAGAGAGAGAGAGAGAGAGAAACCTTCCATCACTACTTCACACCCCAAATGCAACGCCCAGAGCTGGGCCAGATCAAAGCCAGGAATCTGCTCCTCCACCAGGGTTCCCCAAGTTAGTGCTAGGGGTCCAAGCACTTGAATCATCTGCTGCTGCTTTCCCAGGGGCAACAGCAGGAAGCTGGAGGAGAAGTAAAGCAGCTGGAATTCTAACTGGTGCCCACATGGAATACTGACATTGAAGGCAGTGGTTTAAGCCACTGTGTCACCAATTACCTTTTTTTTTTGAAAGAGCATCATCTAGCACTGATTGATAGACTGAGTGGAGCAGCCACTCTGTCACTCTCTGTTCAGAAACTTCTTGGCCACTCTGGACATCATTCCTTTCTCCCAGGTGTGGGGTAGGGCAGGGAGCAATGCCATGCTAAAACAGAATAGGTCAGGGAATTGCTTTACAGGCCAACTCCAAGACAGGAGAGCTGGCTAAACAGTAGGAGATATTTTAAGTTTCCATAACCTACCTTATGGAAGAGTAATAGTTTCCATGGCCTGTCTTGGGGTGGTGCTGGATGGAGGGGGAAAGGAACAAGGAAAATGAGAGCTTTCTGAGATCTGTTTTTGGCACCTCAGATGTCCTGGTATTATAGTAAAAGGCCATCTTATACCTTTATCACTCTAAATCTGTTCCAAAACTGCTTGAGGGACCCAGGACAAAAGGCCAAACACCTGTACTTCATTGTTCTCAGGAAATAATAAGGTCAGTGGGAGATATGAGTCAGGAGCTGTGGATGGAAACCAAAACACACATATGGTGATACCACATGTGGTTAAGTAAAGTAGAAAGAATGTACCCAATAAATATTATGCAACAGTTAAGGAGAATGAGATAGAAATATCTGTGCTGTATTGACCAGGAAAAAAAATCTCTGGACAGAGTTATTATAAAAAGCAAGTTGCTCATTAATACAGCATATAAAACTCATTTATGTCAAGGTAGGCATGCCAAAAGACATACATACACCATCACGACACAAAATTGTGTTTCTGCTTGTATTTGTTTAAGTACACAGTCACCAGGAAAAATCTTGGCAAAGACACATCCCCAAATGGCAGCAACTAATGGGAAATAATATGCCTTTCAGAACTAGGAATGCAAATAAACATCTCCTATGCCAGAAGATGTTCTTTCTTAAGATTTATTTTATTTGTTTAGAAGGCAAAATTACACATGGCAAGAGAGAAAGTGGGAAAGACAGAGAAACAGAGTTTCCATCTACTGGTCACTCTCGGACGGCTGTAACAGCTGGGCCTGGGCCAAGCTGAAGACAGTAGCTTGAAATTTCATCTACCACGTGAGTGGTAGGGCTCAAGCACTTGGGTTGTCTTCCACAGCTTTCCCAGGTGCACTAACAGGGAGTTGGGTTGGAAACAGAGCAGCACATGTGAGAAGCCAGCATTAGAAGAGATGACTTAGCCCTATCCCATCTCCACCGCTGTGCCACTGGCCAGCCCTGGCTTAGACTTCTGAGCACACATTCAGGAGTTTCTCTGTTTCTCTTAGAGTACAAGTCAAGCACTTCTCTGCTATTTCTCCCTCACCGAATTGCAGTCCAGTGAGATCTGTCTTGCTGTGCCTGAAACACATGCACATTAACCCATATGACACCTCCACACTGGCTGTTCCCCAGCTTGGGTGCTCTTCCCTCATACATCAATGCCACTTATTTCTCCACCTCTTTCTTTCTTTCTTTTTCCCTTTACTCATTTTTTCTGTTCTTTTTCTCTTTCTTTCAAGCTTCAAATAGAAACTTCTCCATTCTTCCTTCCTCCGCAGCTTACAGTTGCAATTCTATTCACTAGCACTCCTGATCTACCTCCCCGTGTGCTTGGTAGCAGTATTACTTACCTTCTCACATAATTTTGGTATTTGCTTTGTCTACTTTTCTTCTTCCCCTAGAGTGTATGTTCTTAAGGTCATGAAACTTTATTGACTTTGTTCCTTGATTTATCCTCTGTTCCTAGAATTGTGCCAGGTAAACTAGTTCTTGATGAACTTCATAGTCTAGTCATAAGTCTTCACCAAAGTATATTCTAGTATTGTTTGCATATTCCCAAAAGTCAATGTCTGTAAATCAAACATCACCACCCATCACACAAACAAAATGTTGCAAACAAGTACTGAGAAACTCTTGCAGGCTTCTGTGGGAACGCTCCTACCCAAAGCTAAATTAGACAGAGCTCACATACACGTAGGCCCACTCACCACCTGTGCATCCAGCTCACTTTGGAACATTTCTTTTACAGTTAAAAGGAGATTGATCATTCCTAGAAACCTGGGTCAAATCCCCAGCTATTTCT